TCTGTAAGGTCTGGAGTGTGTTTAATGTTTGTCCTGTCAGGCTATCTTTGAGATCTTTCATCCATTTATTATAAGTTTGTACTTTGAAGCTGTGAGCTTTTATTTACACCGTCTGCTTTAGGGAAAGTCACAAAGTCAGAGGTTCAGCTTTAGGCTGAACAAACATCAGGTTTCTCTGGGTAACACATCGTTTGCATGCACTGACTCTACGAGAGCGTCTGCCAGGGACTCGATGTTCTCCCGGTCCAGGTTGGTGGTGGGCTCATCCAGGGCCAGGATTCCACAGTCAAGACAGAAGGCCTCTGCAAGAGCGAGCCGGATGATCAGGGATGCCAGCACCTAAACACACACACAGGATCAATCCATCCAACTAAACAAGAGTTTAAGTGACGGAGGCGCTGACACAGAAAATCTTTTAAATACCTTCTGACCGGCACTGCAGCGCCCTCTCATATTCACGTCTGCGTCTCCTCTCATCATCACTACTCTGTAGTTGTAGCTCCTCCGCCTCTCCGACCTCTCCTCCACCTCAGACCTGATCTCGATGTACTCGATATCTGCAAGGGAGACACAAGGTGAAGACCAAACACTCACATTTACCCACTGAGCAGTTTTCTGGTGATCAGACGTGTAAAATGTGTCTGAGACGTCTCGATCACACTCTGCTGTAGTTTCATAGATACAAGCACGTCTTCAATCACTGAGCTGATTTTTGTCTGAGGGGGTCAGTGAGATGCACCTTGACCCCTGTAGGTGCTGCGCCACAGGTCTCTGATGTTCTGGTTGATCTCATCCATCTTCATGCTGTGAAACTTCACGATGGCTCTGTGGAAGCAACAGAGAAACAGAAACTCTGATGACCTTCACATGGTTTCTGTCCCACACTGACGATCAAGCGACGACATGCAGTAAACTTACTGATCTAGAGCCTCTTCGTAGAGTTTCAGGTCTCTGCTGAGCACCTGTGTGGTTCTCATCTCAATCATCTTGTTTCTGTGGAGCTCCTCGGCTTTGCCGTACTGATCTTCCTCCAGCTGTTTGCTGCAATCAAAGGTTCAGATCAGAGATGAGTGAAAGTGAGTGAAGCGCTCTTGTTTCATGTGCTCATGTGAACTTTCGGGGAGAATCAGAGATTTTCTCAACTCTGTCGAGGCTCCACACTCAGCGTGGAGGGAAGAGTTTTTACTAGTGTTTTGCACACGTTTCACATGTGATGTTGAATACTGAAAATTGTCGCCTTTATTGTGTGAATCATGTTATATAACCCTGAGATACCCGAAGTACTCTGGGTTACAGCAATGAATTATGGGAAATGTGTTTAACCTTCCTGTCGTGTTCGGGTCAAATCTGACCGATTTACAAATTAAAAAACTCATGAATATTGTGTTTTACATCCGATTGCCTGGAGGCCTTATGACATCCTCCACACTATGCACTTGAACATATAAAAGTGATGAGCACCTCTTTCGTTGGTGTTTAATCAACTTTGTTACATCCCGGTCAATAATGACCATAGAAAATGAATGAGAATCTACCCCCCCCACCCCCCACCCCTGGCCTCTGACCCCCTGAATGGGTCACTGAATGACAAAATGAATAACCCATTGACCCACCCACTGAACTGAATTTGGTGGTGAAAAATGTTTCTTATGTCAATTTAAGAGCTGTTAAAACTGACCAGTCAATTTTGACTGGGAACACTAAAGTAAGGGGGTGGGGGTGAACACAACCGGAGGGTTAAGTCATGAGCACAAAGTCAAAGGAATTTTATTGATTTCATTATTGTTTTAACATCGATCACTGAAATGATCTTATTTTAGGTACAGGGCTGTGAAAAAGTCTTGAGCCACTGTCCAAAGAAACACTCTGAAAGACCTTAAGAAAGCTGGAACACTGTTGCTCCAGAGCA